ATATGTCGTCCAATTGCAGTCATCCAATTTGTCCATTCATTTGAAACTCCCAAAGTTTGGTGCCTAAGGAATCTTAGACTGAAGCTAATTTCCAATTATGCTAGTATTCGATGATATCAATGCATTGTTCAACGTTTTTTTATGTTGACAGTAGGGATGATCATAGGAAAATGCTAAATCTCAAATCTCTTATACCGCTCCCTCTCTTTTGGGAGAAAGAGAGGTAAAGAAGTATCTAACAATACGCATATTATTTCCTGTTGTCAAGTAAAATTTTTTTCTTTCCCAATAATGTCATTATTATAGTAACAGCAAAGTGAAATTGCCGTACATTTCTCGCACCATTAAAATTAAAATTGGGTAGGACTGTATTCCACAACTCACATCAGAGACAAAGTAAAGTGATTAACATCCCTCATATTCTCTCCTATGCAATTACACAAGTTATTTCCACTATTCGTTGAAATCAATTTCTACCCTCAGCTGATTAATTCGAGGACATCAGGATCTAGGAGAGCTAGCATGGTAGTTTTGGTTAGGTAGCGGACTTCAAATCAATATCTCATTAACCGAGAATTTACTGAATCTTATCACTCGTCAAGATCACAGTTTTGTTTGTTTTTTCCTTATTTTTTCAAACATTGAATTGACTTCGAACAATCTACTCGTCTCTGCACTATCAGTAGATTACTTGTTACTGTAAGAAGATTCTTGCCACAATAGCATAGTAGTAAAAACGAGTCCTAATGCTGTAGATTATATCATTGTTCAGATTGACTTCTTGTTTTTATATCAATGGTTTCCAGTCGGTAGTCCGCGTGCACTAAAATTTGAACCACAAGGATATTAAAAATTATGATCCTTCTTATTTCGTTATAATATTACTCTATGTTTACTAATATGTCAAAAGTCTTGATCAACGTATATTCTCAAACCCATACAACTTACTATTCTTGTACTTCTGTACCTGCTGTCCTATGCTACAAATAAAAAAGCCAAAGTGGTCCCTGGTCAAGAAAAGGTCAGGAACCACACTCTATACTGGCCGGATCAAAATTTAATGATTTTCACAGCGCTCCAAAATTTGTAGCCCCTTCAAAAGTGGTTTATGGCGGGAGAATTCGGGAAGTTTTTTTCGTCGTTACATGGAATTGATTTGTTTTGAGCGGACTGGATTCAATGTTGGAAGGATCGAGCTTGAAATTAAGATACGACGCGGTGAAATGTCGTGAAAGGGTGCAGTTTGGCAAGTACCGCTTTATCAAACCTTCTGGAAACTTTGTAATCCCCGAGTTTATGGTATCTTTTCTTCCCCTTTGGTATCTTTTCTTCCCCTTCATTTTTTTTTTTCACTTTCACTTCCATTTTAACGTGCCTTATTTTATCATTCTTGATTGGTTAGCAGCAAGGTGAATACTTTTACGAATACCTTACAGTTTCAATTTCACAAAGAGTCACAAGTAATGGCACCGACATCCAAACCTCGCTTAAAGCCATGCACTCCACAAAAGGAAAAAATTGTCCCGAATGTCACTGACGACTTTGATGACGATGAATTATTACGACTTGCGGATGCAACCGAACTCGAACATGTCCCTGCACTTGCATCATCCAGTGTTTTCGTTGTTAAAGTTGGTCCTACATCATTCCTTTATTGTTCTTTCACGAGATTTGCATACAGTAGTTCTTTAATTGCTATTCATGTGGCAATATTTTATTTATACATTTCATGTAGAATGAAGGACGTTCTGGCCATGAAAGCGTTGTGGCAGTCATGCCGGATCCTTCGCGATGTGATGAGATTTATCTCAATGATTCAGTTGACGATGAAGAAATTGAATTCCATGATTCACCAAACGATCTTTTTGATGCGGATGTAGATGAAGTATCGCGGATGATTTTTTTTCTTCAGTCCAAATTCAGAATTTGATTTCTAGACTTAGAATTCCCTCCTTTCTATGGCTCACACTATCCATCCTTAGCAGTCCATCTACTTCCATCACTGTATTGTCTCTTATAAATCAATTTTGAATATCAACTTGATCCCAATTGACCGTTTTGCTTAATTATCAATCTTTATGCTCGAAAATTTCAATTAGTTTAAACTGCAAGTTTAATTTTTTTCAAGGTAACGAGTAATGAGAAGCTCTTAACTTATGACGGAAATATTGACAGTAAGCAACAAGGCGTTGTTGAAGTGGTAACGTATGTTTCACATTAAATTTCCTCAAATAATGAATGTCGCACAGGCGTTATTTTTAAGGATTTTTTTTTTATTTGAACCAATCACAGGCATTAATTTGATATTTTAGGAAAAGAGTTCAGTGAAATTCAAAAAAAGAAAAAATTTCTAAAGATTTACTTTCTTCATTGGGATTATTTTTTAAGACTCTCGCCTGATTCCATCTTTTCGAAGTCTAAAATTGCACCACGCACGATACTTCATAATAATGATGTTTGCGACAATGATTTGGACAATAATGATATAAAGGTTTGTGAATGACTCGAGAATAACATTATTTAGCAATAAAAAACAAAAATGCCCGTTGATTCCAACTATTACAGCCTGGAAAAATTGCAGATGGAAGCAGAAGAAAACATTCATTCTACCTATCATATAACTAGCGAACTGGACGATGCACATCTTTTGTTGTGTAATTCGGAAAAACATAGACACGGTAAGCGTTTACTTTACTCATGCATATACAGCCATCTTTGTCTTTACAGATATGCATGGTCAGTTTCGAGCCTTTTTGCAAGACGATGGAGACCAATTCGAAGATGAAAGTAAGTTTTTAGTGAAAACACATTTTTCAATAAAATTATGAAAAGATTTCTTGATAACTACGTAATAAAATAACCAAATAAAAATTTGGTTGTGTGGGATTTGATGAGCTTCTTATGTCTTCAACATGTTGCAAATTCAATTTTTAGCCAGACATTTGGGACAGAAGTTGTGTAGTGAAATGTATCGTGTCTTGAAAAGTAGATTTGGTTTCAACCAGTTCCGTCACCGCCAAAAACATGCTATTATTGCAGCTTTGCTTGGCTATGATTGTTTCATCCTCATGCCAACAGGTCTGCTTACTTTTTTGCTCCCATTTACACTTGCTGTGGAAGCTTTGTGTTTTCCTCAAACACTTCATTTTAGGAGCTGGAAAAAGTCTTTGCTATCAGCTTCCAGCTGTTTTGTCAGAGGGTGTTACGGTTGTAATTTCTCCTCTCAAGTCGCTAATCGAAGACCAGAAAATGAAAATGAAAGAACTTGAGGTTGGTTACGGAGTTTTCAAAGTAAATGAAGTGATCTTAGATAATTATTAAATAATTTTGTAGGTCGGGGTATACAAATTGGGGATAAGAAAATTTATCGTAAATTGTAAAATAGATGAAAAATTTTTGCAGATTTGCTGTTATGCTTTAACATCTGAGCTCAGTCAGGCTGAATCTGATCGAATTTATGGCATGCTGAATGAAAACTCTCCAAAAATAAAATTACTTTATGTGACGCCTGAAAAGGTATGAAAATCGCTTCGTAGTATTTTTCGCGCAGTTTTGCAAGGACTTAGCACCTAAGAGAGAAAAACAAAATTTATTCGACTTCAGATAGCTGCTTCCGAGAAATTGAATAACGTGTTCCATTCTTTACATCGAAGGGGTTTGCTCACTCGATTTGTTGTCGACGAAGCGCATTGCGTTTCTCAATGGGGTCATGATTTTCGGCCTGATTATACGAAATTGCAGTCCCTGAGGTCTAGTAATTTGAAATTTCGATTTAATTTCTTCGGTTCTATGAACCATTTCGCATTTATTTTATTTTAAACAAAACTCGTCCTGTCTTTTTTCAGAAGGATGTTCACAAACCCAGTAGTACCAGTTATGGCTCTTACTGCTACAGCAACACCAAAAATTGTAACTGATACCCGGGTTCATTTAGCGATTCAGCAGAGCAAATTGTACGCAGATTAATTAGACCCAATCATTGTAAATTTTATACTTGATGAGAGAAACTTTAATTGCCGTTTTGTTTTGCCACTGAAACTATTACTGTTCCGTCATTTAATAGATGTTTGAGGCTTAATTTAGGCTGCAAATCATTTCAGATATTTTAGGTTCATAAGTAGTTTCGTGAGGACTAATCTGAAGTATGATGTCATTGCTAAAGGACCGCGTTCACTGCTGAAGGTAATGGACCGTATGAAAATTCTCTATCCAGGCAAATCAGGAATTGTTTATTGCCTGTCAAGGTATCACTATTCTTGTATTTTCTTTTGTCAAATCCTGCTGTCTACTCATTCGTATCTTTTTTATTAATAGATTTCAAAATACAGTCTTTTCAAGTAGATATTCTATTCTATTAATTTATATATGTCTACACTTTATTTCCAGAAAGGATTGTGAATCGGTCGCAAAAATGTTGGAAAGTCACTCCATGTCTTCAGAAGTATATCATGCAGGATTAAGTGATAAGAAACGACTCGAAGTGCAAACGAGATGGATCAACAATCGAGTGAACGTCATTTGTGCTACTATTGGTCATTTGCAGCTTCCGTTTTGTTACTAGGATCAACCGAAACACTGAAACGAGTGATTCTCTTTGAGAGAAGCTGTGTTTCCGTTTATATTAATTTATTTCGATCATTTCAGCATTTGGTATGGGAATCGACAAACCAGATGTGCGATTTGTTATCCATTTTAGGTACTATTATATTTTCAGAAACTAAGTTTTAACAAAAAGCGATTTTGTCGAATAACAAAAAGCGATTTGTTATCCATTTTAGGTACTATTATATTTTCAGAAATTAAGAAATTAAGTTTCTGAAAATATAATGTAAAAATAAAAAAAAATATAAAAACGAAAAAAAATTATATTCTCAGAAACTTAGTTCCCAAATGAAATGAATTCGCATGTCCAAATGAATTAATTACTGTTTATTTAACAGTATACCGAAGTCAATCGAAGGATACTATCAGGAGACCGGTCGAGCTGGACGTGATGGTTTAAATTCATATTGTGCAATCCTTTACAGTTATAATGATTCAGTACGAATCAGAAAGATGATCGAAGGTTTTCGATTTTTATTTTGCACTAATTCATGAGGTTTTCTTGATCCAAAGCTTGCAGTCTACCACAGTTCGAGTTTTACGTTTCAAGTATCTTTTGTTCTCATCTCTTTATAACAGTAAATTTACAAATTTAGGAGAGAATAACACCCAAGGTGTACGAACAATGCATCTAAGTAGTGTGCTTGAAATCGTAGCATATTGTGAAAATGTTTCAATTTGCCGGCGGAAATGGCTAGTAGAGCACTTTGGCGAGGTATTTTGTTAAATTAAAGTGCTTCACGATTGTCAAACTCTGAGGTGTTGTAATTGAAGCAGGCATCAAATTTTCAGGTTTATGATGCCGAAGCTTGTCGTAAAAGTAATTCCCCTTGCGATATTTGTGTTCAACAAATCAAGAACGCGGTATTTTTTGGAACTTTCGGAATGTATGTTTGAAAATGTTGAACTTTTTCGATAATCCCTCACATTCAGAACGCATACAAAGTTTACGATGTGACCGAAGAAGCGAAACTTGTTGCTCAGAGCATGCTGCATATGCATAATGTTACTTTGAAGTACCTCGCCGATTTATATCGTGGTCGTATGGGACAGAAAAAATTCGCAGATATGGTTGGTTTAAATGTGCAAAATTCGTAATTCTGTTCCTATCTGATTTCCCAGTTTCTTCCTTACTTTTGCTTTGAGTTTCTGGTTTATAGGCGGTACGGTTGGGTCACACAAAATATGCAATGTTTGGACGTGGTGTTGGGATGCAAGAAACGGATGCATCAAGATTTGTCAGGAAATTGGTAATTGATGGCATTATTACGGAACAACTTTATAATACGAAATTTGATACAACAGTTGCTTATGCTGAACTGACAGAGTTAGGTCGAGAATTAGCGAATGGGCGCAGCAGGATGAAGGTGCTGAAGAAAACATTAATTTGTATCTTACTTTAAATCACTAGTAGACTATATGTGTGATAAATGTTATGGAAGAAAGCATATAATCTTAAGTGAGGGTCTGACTCTTTTACCGAAGAAGTCCGAAAAAATGTAATAAAGCTAGGAAGTGGAAAAAAGAATTAGGGGATAGAAAATTGCAGTTTAATTAAAGTTTATTGAGAAGCATGAACCAAAATAGAAGTGTTTATAGAACTTTTCAGGTCTATCTTCACTTATCAAATCAGCCAGATGATGGTCGGAATTCCCACGGAATGGAAGTAACAGCATTAATGTCGATAAATAGTGTCAGTGAAATGGAAGCTCTGAAGGAAAAGTTGGTGATGATTTCCATTTGCTCGTTTCTATAGGTTTTTCCTTAGCAATTTTCAATTTTAGATATATGGTGAAGCATGCAGACTTGTTTGGCAAGTGTAAGAGAGATCTTTTGCGATTATTTTCCGATATTGCATCTACAGAGGGTTTTAGTAGTTATCTGGTTCGTCTCCTTTTCAAGATTACAAATATTTGCAAGATTCTTGAGATTTCAAATGAAGGAAAAAGGGCAATGCTTTTCTAATACGAAACTTTTATTTCAGCCCATTATCAATTCCGAAGGTATTGAACAAATAGCAGCACTGATGCCGCGTACATATTCCGATCTCTTGCAAATTGATAGTATGACCGCGCGAAAAGCTGAACGATATGGAGCTCAAATCATGTGCATGTTAAAAGAATACTGGAATGAACTCGACGGTAATTTATATTATGAATTTGGAATAAGTAAAAGTGAACAGTAATTCGTAAATAATTTTCGTGTATTACTCTGATTGATTATAGTTCAAATTAATAGTTATCATTTAAACTGCAGCACGTGAAGAGAATGAAATCAAACGACAGTTGAACCATATGAATACAAGCAAAGACATCGTCGGTGGTTTCAGGGATGTACAAATAGATGGTACAGTTGCCCCAAATACAGGTTAAAATCTTTTCTATGAATGTTAGAATCAGTTTCTCTTTCCTGTTGTCAATCACCGGATACTCAAATTATT